TGTTTTTTTAAATTTTTATGTTCTTGTTTGTGTTGATTTTTTAAATAATATTTATAATATTTTTCAGTTATAATTGCGATACTTTTTGATTTTACACAAACAATAAGTTTCTTTATTAGTGTTGTCATTGTTATGATTTTACAGCATTTATGAGGGACAGCACTGATTGAATTGAATAGATATGGTGAAGGAATATCTACTATACTGATGACAAGTGAAATGAATACTATAGTCTTGACGTGAATCCTTGTTTAAGAAGCTCTATCTTCCTAGCAATCCTGTAGCTATTCCTGCAGGTTCTTCCTGTTGTCAAGTTCATATTATCATTAGTATTATAACATTAATTAATTGCTTTGTGTTTTTGAAATAAAACATTACACACTTGATTAATACCTTCTCTTAGCTGGAAACTTCCACTAAGTATTGCAATTTGATTCTAAGCATAGCTAGCCTAGCTAGGTAAAAAAATACTTGCTGTTCCCAGTTCTGAGATCTGAGCATGCGCGACCACGCCCAAATGGAGCACATGCTTCTTTAATTAACAAAATGGTGGCATGAGGTAAGCTGGTGCGATCCAACAGTCCCAGTATCACTTCTTTCTTTCTTGGAGAATGATTCTAGGGGACAAGGGCCTGCGCATACCCTGTTGGAGTAGAATGGTGTAAGAATTATTCTTGTAGCACCAGGAAAGATCGATATATCACCCGACAACTGGATTGACAGGACTAACTTGATGATGATGATGATGATGAAGATGAAAAAAGGTGGCTGAACAAAATGGCCAGTTTGCAGCTTTTTAATTTTTCTCCCAGAAAAGGTCTAGAGCCACGCTAGTGGTACCATTGGAGTCCTCTGGTTAGGATAAGGTCCTCTAAGAAGTCTGGTAAACATAGGAGCTCGTTTTCCCGGTATAGTAAGGCTGCAAAAGTCGTGGCAGCCATTTTGTTTGGGGGTGAATCCTACTTAGTAACGCTACCACGTTACTAATAATTATTACAATCTTACTGTCCATTGTTATGGTTCAGTCCATTAGCCTCAGCATTATAATGGAGTCATACCAGAGGAAGCATGCTGCTCTAGCTGAACCAGTACTAATTGAGTATAGTGATGTATTCGCTAAAAGACAAAGATAGAGGGTGACAAAATTGTTCATACATGTCATCCAATAGCTCTTGTGTACATGCTTATGTACATGTACATACATACGTACATGTGCCTGTACATGTACACTGTGTACTTCTTGCTTTCACATACTATCACTCCCTAGTCCCTACATTACATGTACAACAAGTACATGTACAATGTACAATGTACATGTACATGTACATGTACATGTACATAACTTCTAATCCTACATGTACATGTACATGTATTTCACCTACTAGTTAAGTTTAGTTTTCAGTGCCAGGTAGGATTGTTCCTTTTTTCTTTTAATGCTGATGTATGTTAGCCAGTTTCGTTGGATTATAAGAGCAGCTTCATTTCTTCTCTTCTCCCTCAGTCGTCTCACTCTCTTTGCTCTTTTCTTGTCAGACCAGGACCGATACTGGTACTGTATTTTTCTGGCAGCCCAATCACGTGTGACAAACTCTTGACGCTACAAAAATAATTAAAAATAATAATGAATCAATCAATAATGGAGCAAAGATGTGGATGCTAATTTTTGAGCTACATGTACATGTACAATGTACATTTGCATGAAAAATACATGTACTGTATGTACCAAACCTTTCTTTTCAAAATTAGCTGAAACTTTTTGGCATGTACAGTGAGTACATGCTGTAAATGTACAAAGTAGCATAAGAATGTACATACATGTACATGTACACGCATATCAGAAAAAGTAATAAAAATTGGAGGCGATTTTGGGGCCATTTTTTGGGAAAAACAATGGGCTATTTTTCAAAATTTGGCCTATTTTTTAAATGCTCATAACTTGAAAATTACATTGTATTTGTCAGAAACAACTCAACCTTTCTACATAGCATAAGGACATTAATTTGTATCAGAAAATGTAATAAAAATTGGGGGTGATTTTGGACCCATTTTTTTGAAAAAACCATGGGCTATAGCCTTGGGTATTTTTCAAAATTTGGCCTAATTTTAAAAATGCTTATAACTAACTCAAAAATTATTTGTCTGAAACAACTCAAACTTTCTACATAGCATAAGGACATCAATATGTATCAAAAAAGTAATAAAAATTGGGAGTACATGTAATTTTGGAGCCATTTTTGAAAAAGCCATGGACCATAGCCTTGGGTATTTTTCAATGTCATGTACATGTACATGTATCATACGTGCATCATTACCTTAATGACATATCTCCTCCAGCATTGTTGTATCTTTGTTGCTGATTCATGTATCCTACCAGCACCAGTACAACCTCCACTTGATATGAGGGAATCCCCAACAGAACTGTGACCATGCAACAGAGCCAGATCCAATGGAGTATAACTATTATAATGTAATAAAAAATAAATTGGTTCATAGAAGTGACTGAATAAAATTTGAAGTACATGTACATGTACCGTATAGTGGGAAATTCGGAGGGAATTAAATTTGGCATTTTAATAGCCTTTTGCTAAAATAAAAAAACCCACCATTTTGAGCCATTAGCACATGCTTAATGGCACGTGGCCACAAATTCGCCAAATTAAAATTTGCCAAACACCAAAATTTAGTAATTAGCCAAATTTAACACCCTCTAAAATTTCATGCTATACTGTATTACATGTATGTACATGTATTACATGTACATGTACATGTAATACTTATCATATTCTGTGGGTGTTTCCCTACCCATGAGTAGTGTCCTTCCTATTGCAGTCGGTTCCTTTATCAAGTAAATACTGTACAGCCACTGAATGGCCAGCCAGTGATGATAAATGTAATGGGGTCCTCCCATCACTGGCTCTAACTATATCAATTGAAGCAGACATTGCACGTGTATACACGATACACGAGTATTTAGACGAAAAACAGGTCTTGTAGTACATACAAGTATATACAAGAACCAAAAATGAGTAGACGGAGTCTGAGGAGACGATTTTCATGTATTTATATTAACTATTAATAATTAAAGGGTGTGTCCACGTAGCAGTCAAAATGGCAGTTAGTTTGCTTAACCATGGATCTTTGATGGTCTTTTTAGTCCTTCTAGGAATAGCAGATGATGAAAACAGCAATAGAAAAGGTAGTAAAGATATTATCCTTTCAAATACTCAACATTTAAGTACAGGATATATGAAAAGTAAATGAAAAATCACCAAAATATAGACGAATTTGGGAAGCAATAAGTAAATGTACATACACGAAAGTTTGCCATTGAATACAAGTACATACACGACCTGCTTTTTTCAAAATACAAGTAAATACAAGTACACGAAAATTCCAGTAGACGTGCAACCTCTGAATTGAAGTGCCATCACTGCAGGAGGAAGAGGACAATAGAAAAAATGAAACGATAAAATTTACATGTATATGTGTACATTGTAATAAATAAGATCTTACATGTACAGTACATGCATACAGTACATGTACATGTACATGAAAAAATTACAATTTAAATTTTGTGCGTATACTGTATATATGTATGTACATGTATGTGCATGTACATAGGGATAATTATAATATTAAAAATAAGTATCTTCGGCTATACAGTATACATACATGTACATGTACATGTACTGTACCTTATTAATATTTCTAAAATATTCTTATGTCCTTTGCTAGCAGCTAAATGTATGGGACTAAAAGAGAGAAGGAAAGATACATGTAAAAAGAGGAGAAAAGAGAGAGTTTAACGTACGAGTCACTTGATGAGGAAGGTTTGTCTCTCTCTGCTCCATTCTTTAGTAATTCCTTCAATACTTCACCATGACCACTAGAACTAGCATAATGTAAACCAGACCTTGGAAAGGAAGAGAAGAGAGGGAAAAATCATAAAATGTGCATGTGATACGTACAACAGCATCTGTACATGTAGTGCACTACAAAAGAATAAACAAGAATATACACATGTGATAATAGAGTTTTTATAATATAATTTGTAGCATGTAAAACAAATGTAGAAGTACATGTATATCCACTACATTTTATATGGTGTTTTTTATATAGGTACATGTACAGTATAACTATATTTATTACAGTCTTACTGTCCATTGCTATGGTTGAGTCCATTAGCCTCAGCATTATTAGTTAGTAACAGTCTCAGATTATTAATATGACCATGAGCACTAGAACAATGTAATGGAGTCATGCCAGAGGAAGGATCACGATTATTAACAACCTAAGATAAAGCAAAAAATACAATGATAAAAATAAGTAACGCACATGTACATGTACAACATACAGTACACGTACAGTTTAACAAAAGCTACACGTACATGTACATGTAATACATTAAAAGTGCCATTGAATGTAAACTGCACCCTAAAATTTTGTTTGAAAAGCTCCTTAAAATTTGTGAAAATTGCTAAAGCTGCTATACAGCTATATACACATGTATGTACATGTACTACAAATCACGTCATTCTATTCAAGTTTCTTACATCATTTCCTCTTTCTATTAGTAACTGGGACAGCTCCATTGATCCAACACTAGCTGCTACATGAAGTGGTTCACCAACGAATGATGGACACACTACCAGCTCATCAATATTACTATTAGTATTATTACTAGAGGTTAATATACAGTGTAGAGGATCAGTGAGTCCTAATGCACAAGACCAGTGTATTACTGATAGGGTCTTAGCTGTATCAGGAGGAATAGGATTACATCCCTAAAATAATAAATTAAAATAAAAAATTAAAATATTTTAATATTCTAAAATCATAGATTAAATGACACGGTGAATTTCGCTGCCAACAGGGAGGTAAAGGTTATGCAAACTTTAATTGAGTTACACTACATCAAAAAAAACACGTATAATGTAACATCAATGACGCATATACTTCAAAATAGCCAGATCACATTAGTAAGGAAATAGATCTTAAATTCCATAATAACAAAATACCATAGTATAGTATTTAACCAAGAATGATAAATATGCGAAGTGCATCTGGATAAAATACTACACCTTTTACACCTTTAGAATATGAGAACATTAACTACACTATACATATACATGTGTACCATACAGTATATAACCTACACCATGTACCAGTTGTAAAGGTCATTGTCATTATTTACACAAGAGCACACACACACCCAATTATGATGTAGCTGTACATGCATAGTGTCAGTTGTAAAAGTACATCTAATGCTACTGGAATGTAAACAAAACAAAATGGATCAAATGGATGGCTGGAATGATCACTGGTGTCTGGTATTAATGACTGTGTGTGGACATGGACACACATCCTTCATTCAATTACAATGAACATGCACACTACAGGCCATTGCTTGATAATGTGCATACAGTACATAAGATTATATACATGAAGACGTACACATCTGTACATGTACAATGTACTAATAACTTGATTATAGCGTAAGTAGACACATATAGAAGACTAGAAGGATAATGTATCCAGAGTTTTCCAAAGAGCGTGCAAAGTGAGGCGCATGTAAACAGCAATAGCAATAGCATGCTTGATGAGCTGAAAAGTACCACAAAATACATGTACATTTATAGTGCATGGCTTTTTAATACCACCTCAAACTTTCTAACAACATAAGCAAATGTAAACATGTACATGTACATTTGTACATGTACATGTATGTATCAGAAAAAATTATAAAAATTAAAACTGTCTTCTAAAAAAAGTAAAATACCATGCACTAGTACGGGGTAAATGGGTATAGTTTCTCAAATTTTGGAGCAACTTCAAAAATCCACTGACAGCAGTATGCCAAAACCTTGTGGGAAAACCTGAATGCATACATGTACATTTACATGGACTGTACAGTACGTAACATGTACATGTACATTTACGTAGTAATCATAGGTAGTTTACCTTTGATATTAGGAACTGAAGTATTTGTGTGTTACTTCCAATCAGTGAATAATGTAATGGAGTAGCTCCATCTTCATCAGTACAAGACCACTCACTGATGTCAGGTATATAACGTTTGTATAACATCTCCAGGAATGACAACTAAAAGTACATGTACACATAAATAATACATGTGAAACACACATACATTTACATGTACATGTACGCATACATATACATAAACATGCTTAATAATATAATTTGTATCTGTTGTGTCATCATTGTTTGTTGTCTTACATTTCCAGAGGTTGCTGCCCAATGCATGACTGTTCTACTCCTGTTATCTTTATCATAAAGGTTAGCTCCTTTCTTAATTAGTAACTGGAATATAGGAATATTACCCTGAGAGATCAAGAAAGAAAAAGAAAGGAGAAAGGTAGAGTCAAAACATACAACAAAGAAGAAAAAGAGAGAAGTGACAATATAAAATGCACATAAATGTACATGTACACTGTAATCATCTAGATACACATTAATAGTAAATTCCAAATACATGTACATACACTAGGTGAATGTAAACATTGAGGGGGCGAGCCATCATTTCACATTGTTTGATAAGAAGATTAAAATTATAATAAATCCAGCTCTTAGCCTGCATGCATTATGCATATTCAGACCCCAGCCTCATGGCCGGGGTCTGAACAGAGCAAACACACCAGTTAACACAACCAAAATAACCCAGTAAAAGAGACAAGGATGAACTATCCTGTCACTTTGAAAAAAATGTGCCAAGTTAAACTTTTAATCAAGCTTCCATCAATTAACATCTTTGAAATAAAACTACTGAAATAAAATCAATCCAGCTCTTAACGTGCATGCATATTCAGACCCCATCCTGTGGTCTGAACAGAGCAAACCCACTATTTAACACCACTGACCAAAATGACCTAGTAAAAGTGACAAGAATGAACTGTTCTAATACTTTGAGAAAATGTGACAAGCTAAACTTCTAATCAAGCTTCTCTCACAATTTTAATTCTTTTAATGAGGACTAATCTAGAGGAGTCTTAGATCAAACTGCTTTTAAATTCTTCAGCCTTTAGAGATGTTTTAGACAGCCCCTCTCTCTTATCTAACTGTTAGAAACTCAATCTGAGTTTGTCACGTTAAAATTTCCGCCATCTTGCTCTTTTTGACCACACCCTCTAGATTAATTTTGCCCACGAGGTCCAAATTTATCAACAAAAGTATACTAATTTAATTTTCGTATTCTTCCGTTCATAAACAAGACGTAACGCAAATAGACCTAGACAGATTAGTGTGGGTCTCGCTCATGCTCGCCCCAATTACATGTATGTACTCTTGATTGTATGCATGTACCTTATGTGCTGCAATCATAAGAGCTGATCTTCCATATTGATCCTTACTACTAACCAATGGTGGACTCAATAATGCCTTGACACACTTGATATTCTACAAAAACAATTAAAAATAAATTTATAGCCATTCATTCAGACATTCACCTCTCCCCTAATTAAGCTATGTGTACATACATGTACACATATGTACATGTACATTCATTTCCTCTCTCTCTCTCTCTCTCCTTCTTACCATTCCCCATATTGAATAATGGAATGAGTTCAGTTGTTCTCTATCAGTCAGTCCAGTATCTGCTCCATGCTTTAGTAATAACTTGACAACGTCATCTCTTCCTAATAGACAGGATATCATTAGAGAAGTAACTCCAGTATCACCAGAAGCTTCATTAATATCAACCTAAACAATAATAACAAGAAAATTAATTTCATTATTTCATATGTATGTGTTAATTAGCTAGCCACCATGAACATGTCAGCCATTTTACCTCCTTCTTTGCTAGAATTGCTTTTATTCCTGATACATGCTCATTGCTAGTAACAGCACTCAGTAAGGATCCATTGCTCTAAGGATGAGATGATATTAACACAAACAGACAAAGTTTCAATTATTTACTTGGCCGCCATTTTCTAACAGGGTGTGGCATAGGGTTAGGCCTACAGAGAGCCGTTTCTCACCGTGTATGCCCTACACTAAGAAATTAAAACAAAAGGTAAGGTTTAAATCCATTACTTTTTGTATTATTTCCCTAATGAAGGCAGTCGGAGAAGAGAAAACTGAAGAATCCTCATTCACTGATCCGCAAAACATTGTGCATGTGTTCCTTCTGATTGTTACTATGGTAACGAGCCCACCCACGTCTATTATAATTACCATGGTAACGAGCCCCACCTTCTTCTATAACAAAAATTAAAAAGATTATTTTCCGCTCAAGGTCATGGAAAGAATGCTGAGTTTATGATCTATGGAACATGAGCCACATAGTGTGATCATAAGTAGTACAGATATCATGTTTATGGTATCTGTATATGGTGTCAGGTGTAAAATTCTGTGACTGACTATAATTGGGCAACGATCCATGCATGAACAACCTCCACATTGCAGAGATGGAAAATGACAATGCAACAAAATCTTAGTCTCTTTTTTACTAATGAAAACAGTGATTTCACTATTGCTGATGATATCAATGGGCCTGCTTTAG